TCATAAACTTTGTGGGGAGGACTTCCATCAGTCATCCTGGGAAAAGTATGACGACATTTGTGGTCAGGGCTCCAACGGGTTGGACGCTGTGATGAACCCTTAACCATTGTTCAAATGTTGCCCATACCCACTCTCACTCGGTTTCTTTGCCTCAGCATTCTGTAACCCGGCGACCAAGTTTTAGTCAATCAGGTACAAACAGGCCTCCCATAGTGGGACTGTGGAATGTACAGCCCAAGATGCCTAGTGAACTTTGCTTCTGCTTAGTTTTGGTTAGATGAGGTGTGTGTGTGGGGAAATAGAAAAAGTCTGTTTTAAGTCCAGCAAGCTGGGTGCCAGGCCTCCCTCAGGAAGACAGAGCTGACAGGTAACAAATGTTAAAAATGGTGTGAAACTTTTCAAATTTTCCTACTCCAAAGGCTGAAGGAGATGCTGGTACCCAAAGTAAAATTTCTGAGGCATGCTGGTAACATTTTGGAATTTCTAGGATTTAATGAAAAAAAATTTACTATTTATAATGTTTGGTTAAAAATCATCTAGCAAAAATTCTGTGGCAAACGCTGATTTCTTAATCAGGATGGCAACAACTAAGTGTAGACCCTAGAAACAGCTTAACTTTATGCATGCAAGCATGTCAACTGAAATAAATGGTCTAAGCTACATCAAATGTCCCTGTTTCCACAGATTCTGGAAAAAATCAATGCAAGTAAAATTAAGCATGGGCATACATTTGCAGGCCTGAGGTACCTTGCTGAACTTTTTAATTCCCATCTTCATGCAATTGCCTTCATGAAATTGTCCACAATACAAATAATTTTAGCAAAGCCATTTAGGATAAACTTCCATTGTTTTCAATGGAAGCAAGACAGTATCTAGCAAATTTGCCTTGAAAAAGGCACGAAGTTTCTGCAGGGCGGTAACACACTAGAATGACTGCCACTTCAAGTTTAAAATGCCAACATGTAGGAACTGGGCATTTCAAACCTTTGGATTTAAAAATATTCAAGAGAAGTCTTCTTCTTCCTCAACTATTTTCACAATGCATTTAACTAGAACTGGTAGACCACAAGCATTTTTCCAAATCCCAGTGGTCAACAGGAATGTTGTGTGTAAGGGTGATCATATTGTAATCATGAATTATATATAGTCATAAGCATTACCCTTGAAAAGATAATTCCTTGAGTTGCCAGAATCTAGAAAGAAGGCTGAAGCAGAGCATTCAGCCCAGATGGGACAAGCATTGCTGCATGCTGTTCAACAGTGACCCCTCTACCAATTTAAGGGAATGCAAGGAAAGGCTTTCAAAGGATGCCACTCCAGTCTTCCTCAGATGTAATAATGGTGATGTCGAGCCAATGGCTGTGTTCACACGTGTTTATAGCACTACAGGTATCACAGCACTTTGAAGTGCTACAAAAATATAGAATAAATACAGACATAGAACTGTCCTCCCCACGCGCGCACACATGCACACACACTGGAGTGCTACAAAGCCACCACAAATGCATCCAACCGAGAGGCCAGTACCATAGCAGTGGGGAAAGGGGGAAGGCGAGCAGGGTGACTGCCCCAGGCACCAAAGCAAAGGGACGCCAATAGGCACTGCCCAGCCAGGGCAGGGTGCAGGACAGAGCCATGAGCAGCTCGTTTGGGGGGGTGCAGGGAGGGCAGCTCCCACCGTTGCATGCACTCCCAGGCAAGCATGGGGAGGGGGCTGCCCCCCAGATCTGTGCACAGGGTGAGAGCGAGCTGCACTGTGCTTTGCCCCAGGAGCCAAACTTCGTTGCTACAGCACTGGGGAGGGAGGGGCAATAGAGGGTCTGAACTCTAGCTTTTTTCTTTGCACAGCAAGGGCATTACAAATGTACTACAAATGTAATGTTTGAAAATGACCAATGAGTTCTTTTAAACTTAACCAAAATTATGGAAGAATCCATCAGCAAGTAACTACTGAGAAGCTGTGCTTCTGCCTTGCTGAATCAGGAGTAGGAGTTGGCTTTAGAAGGGGCAAATTTTAGCAAGGGGATTATTGAAACCTCAGCCCCTATCCATTTGGCTTCTTCCCCTTCACAGTAAGTTGCTATGGGCCACATCCAAAAAAAGGACTTTGTGCCTAATGTGGGACTTGGGTAAGACCTAACCACCTAAGGCAAAACTGCAATCCCAGAAACTGGTCAGTAGCTTCTTGACTCTAGAGGTCCCTAATAGGGACATACCTGTTTGACCTGAAAGTTCTCCAAGGAGCTAGAGCATTTTAGCACCTCACTCCTCTAAAACCCAACCAGGATGAGAATCCAGCCATCCCTCTGGTTAAGAGCCCTGATCCACCTCGTATACTCACCGATAGGAGCATGGCCCAAGCAAAATGCAATGATGACCACAAAAGGAGAAGGCAACAGTGGTGCTGATGCCCCTTTTTATAGAATACTTTGGTGGCAGACTTACTCATCAGGAAGCCAGAGATCCAGATTCAACTTCCTCCTCTGCTTGAAGGAATCTAAACCCATGTCACCCACCTCTCAGGAGAGTGGCCCCAACCACCAAGCTGTACGCTAGTCTAAGGGACAGGAGGCACTCTCCATCCCTATTTTGGACACTGTTCCACGGCAGAAAATGTCAAGATTTTTGTACCTAAAGGGAAGAGGAGAGAGCAGGATTCTGTAGTTTTCTGGTCCTGGGGGGTGGGCCCTGCTCCCAACACTGCTTATGTATTTTATTCAGCATTTAAGGTAAAATATGAAACAGTTTTTGCTAGCAGAGACCAGAACTAAGGTGTCACCCCTCACAGGTGTGCTGCATCCCTTCACATCCCTTGATTTATATACGATAGGATTCAGGACCCCAGAACAATCTGAAGTGCATTGGCATGTCCAGTTACAGATTAATCTGATACATGCATTTATTCTGGAGCAAATTCAGTTGTGTTTTTTTAAATTACCAATTGATAGCCCATTTGCAGTCCTCTACCACAAAACAAGGAAAACCCTGCCAGCAACATTACAAGCATTTCCCCACTGCCCTGACAGTATAACATAAACCTAGCTTAGAAGGAAACTTTGTGTTGAAAAGGTAGCTCCATTCCACTAAATCACGGTCTCTTGCTAAGGCTTAAAAAAGGGTGCCAAGCAGTAGCTCTGACATGCGCCAACTGGGAACCTCACACTCAATATCATCTTGATGCATGTAAAGAGTGGTGTCCAGTCATGACTGACTTTGGCCATACTCAAATCACCAATCTCAGAAGGAAAGTCCCCAGGTCTCACTTTCTACAGTTTGACCTATTATGACAAACCTACTTCTCCTCACTCAGCCTGTACCTTAAATAACAAACAAAGCCTTAGACTTTGGGCCTGGTGTTTCTTGAAAACTGCTTTCCCAGCCTAAGATTAGTTATAGTTTCTTTTCTTGATTATAGTCCTTTCTTGCATGAATCCTTAGCCCTCCTAATGTGGATCAGATGACTTGGTCCAAGATCACAAATGCATTGGTTGATTTTGTTTCATTTTTCATCTTTTGTTTGGGCTGGGCATCTCTTCTATATTGATGAAGAAAAATATATATTGATGAAGAAAAATATGTAAAGCATTATTTACACAAGATTACAGAGATTACTAAAGAAAAATATTTGCATTTTCCCACAGCCATTTCCAAAAGGCTAAACTTCAAGTTAGAGGATCAGCCTTCAGTTTGATTTACATCCAGCACACTGACACAATGCTTGAAGTGTAAACACAAAACTGGTAAGTTAGGCATGGATCCAGGTGCACCAGTAGTTTCTAGTACTTCTCTGTGCAAACATGATTGCTCAAGGGAAGGAGGGAGGGTGCTGGTAGTTTCCCCCAGAGTCCCTACATACCTGTTTGACCAGGATAAGATATGGAAAAGCTGGAGAGCTCCACATAAACCCATTCCTCATTACTACCACTGAACATGCTATGCTTCACCCTGGCAAAGCCATTATCTTCCTTAATCAGCAAAGAGGTTACTATGGAACAATGAGACACTCAATTCCACTTCCTTCTCTCCCCTTCCTAGCCCTAAAATCTCTAAGGTACCTATTACCTTAGCATTTAAGGAGCTGGTGTGTTTTTCTGTAGCTTTCCCAGCCTTCAGAGTATGGGAATGGGAACACCCTCCATTAACAGAATCACAAATATCTTGCCCGTTCCAATTTCCCCAGTCATATATACATCACAAAGGCAGACAGAAATGGACAGCATGGAAATATAAAACATGATGTGATATTCTGGGTAACAGGGTAATACGTAACCTTTAAGAAACTGTAGTTTGCAGTTCAGCCCTACCCACCACAACTCCCGCTTTAAAACTGAGCTGCAAAAAGCAGCTCAAATTTAAAGCAAAGCCCTTAAGCCCTAGCTTATAAAGGGCAAAGCCCCTATTAAGCCAGCTGCAAGAAAGCACTAACTTCCATTTACCACTTCTGACATACATTGGAGGTTGTGCAAGAAACCACCAGGTGCTTAAAATGCTCCAGGATCCAACACCTGCCCCATCTATGATACTAGGAGTGTGAAGTCCCATCAACTCTATGGGACTTTGCTGACCTGTTAAATAAGGCAGATAAGGGTATAAACAGATGTCAAATTAAATAGATCAGGGCAACATCAGGAGAAAGTGTAGATATCTTCAAGGCCCCTTAAACTCTTTTTTCCTGCTTATTTTATAGTAGGAAGAGCTATAGTGCCCACTGCTGTTTCCTCCATTAATACAAGAACACAATCCAAAAGATATTTTACTTGACGTGCTTCTAACTGTAATAGGTTAAGTAGCTTCAATGTAAGGTAAAACCAAGCATCTTGCATCTTTCTTTTCATGCAGTAGTCCTGTCATTCTGTGAACTGCCAACTAAAAGCATTTGAGCTCCCTTATACGAGTTTTTAATGACATTTAAACTGGACCCTTGTGATTACATTCAGAACAAGATGCTGGCGTACTTCATGGCAGTATAACAAAAGTAAAATTTCCCTGCAACTTCTACATAGTCTTAAAATGAGTCAAGTTTATTTATAATCACTTTTATTTCCTTCTTCAAACAGCAAAACAAAACAGGTCATTTTTACATTGCAGAATAGAACTTTTAAATCTACTATGGAAATATATAACTCCAAAAGTAGTTTCTTTTGGAAAGACGTGATTTTTTTATATTTTGATCAGAGAAAAAACAATTAGGTGTAACACTTTTAAGAGGAAATAAAATCGATTTTCAGAGTAGTGAAATAGAGATTATTCCATTTTCAACAAAAAGGAAGCTACGTTACAGTAACTTCAAATGCATCTTGTTCTGTAAATGCCACATGACTAGAATGGATTACTGCACATGGATGTAAGTTACAACAATTTTACCAAAAAACAGGATAAAGATTAAAAAGTTTCAAACATGGTATTTTGCACATTCATGTTTTCTTATACAATGCATCTTCATAGTTGCCTGGGACTATACCACCACATTCTTCTGTGTTTTCTACTGGATGCTTTAAAATAGTACGTCTAATTATATCGATATCACGTCCTAAATGGTCCATTATGGTTGAAACAATTGCAGGTGGGCCTTCAAAGTCTACTGAAAAGTACCTGTAATGAAAAACAAAACATGCAATAAACCAAAGTAGATGTGACTACACAAACCCTTCATTCATCTCATTGCTTTGCTATAAAATGGAACTCCCAATAATCTACCATGGATTTCTTAGATGTTATTTTTGGAATGGTCTTTAAAATCAAAGCTCGACAATGTGTTTTTTTTGGGGGGGGGGAGTTGTTTTTGTTTGTTATTTGGGTTTTTTGTTTTGTTTTTTTTTTTTAACTTGGGCAGTTCAAGTTATGCAGACTTTCACAAACACTTTTAAAAAAAAACACCTTTCCTTTCCAGAGTCTACTGCTACTTTACTGTGCAGTAGTACAACAACAAGGATATCTTATTGTCTTTGCTTTTTACACATCCTATACATTTTCATCCTATAAAAACAAAAGCAGCATATTCCTTTTAGTTAATGTACATGCACACATTTCTCTGGGAACCGTGTCCTTTTGTATATGGAGTATGGATGCAGGAACAGATGTAAATGTTACCACTTCATGTATTATAAGTGGCAAACCTTCCTCCATCACAATTTTTTTTAAAAAAACAGTAGTCGAAAAAACAAACAAACAAGGAGCTAGCCCCAATAGGAAAATACTCACCGCTGACTTGCTTTTCATTCTAAAACACCAAGGGCATTAAGTTGAAACTGCCTACAAGAAGCCTTAACTGGCATACATTTAGCAGTTCAACCTATTGTATAGCACATCTTGCTGACCTTGGCAAGACTACAGAGTGTCATATTGAATGTAATAGTTTGAATTTTTGTAATAAATACCCATTAGCCAGTTTAGAAAAAAGGCAAGGTTCATCTTATCTAGGCCATTGCTTGTTTTTGCCTACGTGGTGAATGCCTTCATTCTGAATTTTATCTTTAGAGGCCTTTAACAAAGTTAACCTAAAAGCGACCCTTGGGCAAACATTCTGAGAGATCGAAACTAGGGACTTTTGAAAAGGGGTTGGCAAAAGAGGTCACAGCAGTGTTACAGAAAATCTCCAAAAAGCAAGAATACAAACTGACCACCCAGCAGAAATCTGTTAAAAGATCCAAGCCCAAATTTGGGAGTAGTGACAGGTTTGGGTAGGAGGGCCCCAAGACGGCAACTCACCCAATAAAAACTGTAACCTACAGTTCCAATTTGGAGGTAACCTCACTTGCAGAACACCGAAGGAAGAATGGCAAGTGTAGGCCGGATAAGAGTGATCACCTGAACCACCCTCTCCATGAACAAGAACTCCCGTTCACGTTGAAGCCTAGGAGTGCC